CTTCTGAATGTGGGGGTGTTTTATTCATAGTTGTTGCTTGTTCTTGGTCATCTCATAGTTGTTCTTCATTTTGCAAATTCAACACTGCAATTTTACGAGTATACAGCTGATTAACTCGATCAGGTATATGATCAACCATTCAAATGACTTCAATGTCCATGGGAACAATACACCCTTCCACTTCTACATCATCTTTATAGTAATTATCATCTTAATTCAACTCATGGTAATTTTCAAGTTGGGACCGCCGCTTCCAATGTATGACTGGAGAATCGGGGGATTCTTTGTAAACGTGACAGTTTCCCTCTTTTGGTGTAAGCACATCAAAAGAAGTCTCCTTATGAGGAAATAACTTCTGGACATGAGATTTAAATCGCCCTTTATAGATTTCTTGATCAAGATCATCTTTCTGAGCTCAAGGATATTTGGGTCTTTTTGGAACCCAAACTTGCTATCTTCTTGGAGTCACATACCGATGACGACCAACATCAGAATGTACATTTGAATGGTCAGATCCATGATACCATTGTTGAGGCCTTCGTTCCTAATATCTTTTGTTATAGTCTCTTGCATATAAATTATCAGAAGTCTCTCCCAACTATTTTTTTTCCGTAATATGGGTATTGACCCATATTAAAATAGAATTCTCTTGGTTCTCAGTTGTATGGAGGATGTTTAAACTCCTCTCTAGAAGGTCTTGCTGAAAATTTGTTATTTTGAGGTCGAGCCACATTGAAAGAGATGACTTCATTGACAGATTTTGTTAGCCTTCTTTATAAATTTCTGTCATTGACAGCCTTCAGAATTTTATATATATTGGAAGATGCAGATTCTTCCTTCTTTGATGGTTGTGGTTGTTGACATGAAGTCTCCCATAAAGACTTCTTTAATTCACCTTGGTTATCATTTCTTTATATCCATTTTAACAGCTCAAAACCATTATTGGTTGGTACATTTATTTCTAACTGCGATGATGATTCTTGAAGTGTATTGGGAACCCATCCATTAGCTCGTAAGAGAGCATTGGCCTTCTTTCTAGCTTTCCTGGAAAGCTTAGCGCTTGCATCGAAAATTTTAGCATTGTACTCTTCAGAAATTTTATTATGAATGGCTGAATGATGACAACCCACTTTAGCTTTGAATCAGAAGTTTTCTTTTGAAAGATCGGAGCAGCAATATGTATTATAAAGAGCCTTGAAAACACAGAGGCTCGCTTGGGAGCCTTTTCACTAACAACTTTAATAGTAGACTTTTTAGCAGCACCCTTAATAGTTAGTACTTCAGCAATATTCTCATAAAGGAATTGCTAGAACTGTATGACTTCAGAAATAGTTCTGCATTGAATAATTGCTACGATATATCTTGTGTTCATAATGACCTGAGGGAATTGTACTTTTGCTCCTTCGCCCAGTTTCATAATCATGAATGAGTTCACAAGCATCATGTTCAGCAACTTATCAACAGAACTTATAGGAATTACAGTTGAGCTAAATTCCACTATAAAAGAAAACACAAGACTATGTTGAATAAAAATTTATATTTATTTCTAGATGTTTTGTTACTTAAGACTAAATATAAGTTTTCTTTTCAGCCAAAGATGGGGAGAAAATTAATCATCAGCGGAGTCGCCAGAAATCTGTTGGCTCAAAAAAAATGGCACAAATGTATGAATCCTGCTATACAGTCGTGGGATTCTATTTCTCTTAAGTCAGATTAAAGTTAACCAGATTTTCCTTGAGGGTAGTCTCAGGGTTTATAGATCTAGAGTTCTTACTTCCCATGAGTGCAAGCACTCATAGTTAATTACCCCTCTTAACACGTAAGAGAGAAATCTTGATTAAGGATGAATAAATTTTAGATATATTTCAATCTCAATGTGGGAAGATGGAGGTAAACTCGATCAAGATCCCATGATTCTGTCATCCTGGGTATACCGTAGTTTTTCAGTTTACCAACACTAATAATCATTGATTGTAGTGTCCAGGGAATCTGATTAGCAGTCATGAGTTGTCTCCTCTTAGGGATACTGAGTAGACTGAAGTGGTTAAATGTGGGTTTTAATTTTGTTAGATTTTTTTAGGATTTACATCTATTAGAATACCCAGGGATTTATTTAGTTTGGGATTTATGACTTTATTTAGAAGTAACCCAGTGATTTAAATTTAGGTTGGGACATACGACTTTCGTAGAAAGTAGCCCAGGGATTTAATTTGGAATGGGGCTTAAGGCTTCCTTAAAATTTGTCCGTTAATTTGTTTAGTTTGGGGCTTACAACTCTAATTAGGAGTTGCCCATGTGATTTGATTTGTATAGGGGCTTATGACTTCCTTAGAAGTTGCATGTCTTATGACTTAGCCCTGTAAGCTAAATAGCCTAATTAGTGGGTCTTACAACCTAGCCGTTATAGACCAGGATGCCCGAGTGAGGGGTCTAGGTTTGTATTATCACCCAAACACTTCCCTTAAATGTCAGACTTACGGCTTCTATTAGAAGTGGCAGGGGGTTTTAATTAAGGGTTAGGAGTTAGGTCAATTTTACCAAAAAATTTCCCTAAGATCGGGCTTATGACTTTCCTACAAAAGTTGTTGGGAAGTGAGTCTTAAAACCAAGTTCTTATAAACAAGGCTGCCCACTGGTTTGAATTTTATTATTTTTGTTAAGAGGATGTCAGTTGTTTATGATTTATTATTTAGAGAATTTGAAAAGGTTGTAAGTTGGTTTTAATTTGTAGTTTTTGCATTTACGGGTTTTGACACTGAGTTAGTGTTTTAGTTATTCTATGCTTGTAGTCTTTTTCTTACTACAGTAGTCCACAACTCTGCCTATTTTCTAGCACTTTTGCTATACTAGCTTTTTTATACTTAGCTTTTCTTGCTTTCCAGTACTCTGTTCTACCTGCAGTAGCTTAGATTTATCAACATTCATTCAATTTATTTATGATATACTGACTTTTCTTTTCCTTGTTTGCAGGTGTTCATAGCCAATAGTTAAAGTACCCAGGGCTTGCAGTTGTAGAGGATGGAGCTCACAAGTACCTGTATGAGCTGACACAGTAGAAACTTTGGAGGATTTGTTGGTTGTTTTGTTTTTGTTAAAGAGTTCCAATTTGTGTTGTGGGGAGTCTTAAGAGTTGTTGTGAAAGTTGTAATTGAGATTTGAGTTAAGTTATTTTTTGAGTTGAATTATTTTGTTTAAATTTTTGTGTGTTGATTAGTTTGAACATAGGTTAAATGGGCGAAACACTAATTTCTTGCAACATGTCTGTAATATCATAAATTGCTCGTATTCCAAGTAGAGACACCTTTTTCTTATTGAAATATTGAGTTGATTTAATCACTACGGCATGCACAAGTAAGTTAACTCCATGTATAAGAGTATTTGTGCTGCAAAGAAGTTGAAGATCTCCCTGCAAAAAAAGACCCTCAACCAGATTCTGATCCTTCAAACAAAGCCCACCATTGTGATAGCCAGCACCACAGAGAATGCATGATTGATTGTATTTGTTTATCACCACAATATACAAAAACTTCCTTTATTTTAATTTTAATTTTTTTTTTTTTGCTCTTTTGATCTTTTGAATGGATTTGAATGTTCAAGGGTTGATACAATATGAGAGATTTGTTGAGCCATTTCTTGTGCTCCTTTTTTTATTGAACAAAATATAGGTGCAGATTAATTTTTTGTTTCTCTTGATTATTGCATGAGGATAATAATAATAAAGTTTTGGGAGACGTTTTTTTCAAATAAGAAATTATTCTTAGCTGGAGCAATGTTTTCTCATTTCCTGTTGGGACGATATGCTCACATTTATATTGGAAAGAAATCATTGAGAAAAGCATTGACTTTGTAATGGATTAAAGTACCCAAAGCTAAACATGGAACAAAATGGAGAAGGCAACACCAATACATATCTCATAGTACATGAGTCCATGGATGATCTCACCTCCCCAAAATCTCTTTTTTTTTTTTAAATGTGAAAGAGTTTTCGTCTTCATGCAATGTTTCAAATTCAATTTTTTTTTTTTTAAAGGTAAAAGATCAAATTGACATTGCTCATCCACCTTTACAAAATCTGATTTGATTTTTTTTTTTAAATATAATGTATAAAAGTTTGATTCATATATAAAAAAATGATTTAATTTATAAAATTCAATTCACATTTAGATTTTTTTTTATTAAAAAAAACTATTTTATACAAATGCTCATATGTTTTTAGAAAATTGTGTGGCTGAAGGCTATTAAGCACCTTTTCATATAAATCAAGAAAATTTTGGCAGCTTTCCGAGAAATTTCGGCAGACTCACATCATCACCTCCCTATTGAAGGAGAAATCGGGACGGCTTTTGCCGTTATTTTATTCCCGGCCAGACCTAAGGTCGACGGCACGAGACCTTGAATTTAAATCACCTCGGGTCAAACTAATGGTCAACGACGCGAGGTCTTGAATTTGGAGCCATCCCGGCTGGACCTAAGGTCGACGACACGAGGTCTTCAATTTAAAACCATCTCGGTCAGACATAAGGTCGATGACACGATGTCTTCAATTTCATCTCGGTCGGATCTAAGATCGACGACACGAGGGTTTCACTTGAAATTCTTCCCGCCCGGATTTAAAATCAACGGTGCGAGGTCTCTAATTATTAAAATTTTTAGCCTGCAGTTGTATGCTCGATTGAATTGATTTAATTAATTTACACATAATCTTGCATGCCGAATATTTGGTTGTTATATCCCCCAACTGACCGCCCCAATACTTGTATATATTATTAAGTAGTGTAATTTCACGACAAAAGGCTGAGTGCGTAGTGAGAAATCATGTGTGTGTGACTTTCAATTGATCCTCTGTTATTTAATATTTTTTATTAATTTTAACCGACTGAAGTTTTCTTCAAGGATCTGCTATATTGATGTTTTGATTAGGGTTTTGCGATATGCTCTAGGGTTTGCGCCGCTCACGTTTTTCCTTCTCTTCCATCGCCTGGGAGGGCTTCCCCCTCCCGATGGCCGCATCTCCACTGGACTTTCCACCACTTACCACATCCACTACGACTGGTCCCCATGCTGGGGGCGTCTCCTATGCTGCTAATGTTTCGGCATCTTCGTCTAAACCGACTCCTTTCCCGGTAACCTACTTCACTCCTTCCCATAAGCTTTCGTTCAAAGCTGATGATCTTTCGGAAGGGAAATCCATTTGGACATCTGCGTTGATTGGTTATTCGTTGGGTCCTCGTCCCTATTATGAACGGTTGCTTAAGGCTATGCTGAAGCTTTGGCAGCTAAAGGGATCTTTGTCTCTTCTCTCGCTTGCGGATGGCTTTTTCTTGCTAAAATTCTCGACTGAGGAAGATCTGGAGATGGTACTTTCGGGAGGACCATGGTTCCTTCTTGGCAAACCTTTCATCTTGCAGCGATGGTCCCCAAAATTTAAGCCGAAGCGTGACGAGGATGCTCCGATTCCGGTATGGATAAAAATAGTTGACTTCCCCCTGGCTCTCTGGACTCCAACTGGTATTTCTAAAATCTCCAGTTATATTGGTATTCCGATTTCTGTTGATTCTCTCACTGCAAATCGTTCTAGATTAACGTTTGCTAGGGTTTGCGTGCTTGTCACGAAAGACTCGATTTTGCCGGATGAAATTCCGATTGAAATCGAAGGTGAAGATTTAATACTGAAAGTTTTATATGATTGGAAGCCTGATAAGTGTGAAGGCTGCGGGTCCTTGATTCACCCGTTTTCTCTCTGTCCCAAAAATCCAAACCCACAACCTATTCTCCCTCCACAATATTTCAAAAATCGCGACAGAAGCACCTCCTGACAACCTGGTAATCGACCTCAAAGACCTCATTCTAAGATACCTCCTCCAAAACCAAATAACTCTACCAATCCGTCTCCTGCTCTGCTTCCATCCCCAAATTCTCTGGTCCAGCCGTTGGCTGACCAACCTTTGAATGTCCAAAATCCTGTCCCTGAACAAATCCAGAATTCTCCATCCTCGGATCAGCTGTTGGTTAATCAACATACTGATAAAGGAACTGTGATTTCTAACAATCCTAAAACTGCTCTTCTTCCCAATCTCAATTCACCGACTGATGATACCTCTTCATCAGGTTTTCCCTCTTCTCCCAAATTAAGTCAACCCCCAAAAATTCCCCTCTTAAACAAGTTTGCTTCTTTGCAAACAGAAGATCAAATTCCTCCAGAATCCACTGATTCTATTTCAGAAAAAGAAAGCTCATCCTTCTCTTTTGCTGATGATGATTCTTCCCCTCAATCTAAGAATCAAAACCTCTCTGAAAAAATCTGTCACAATACCAGATCTACTAGTGAAAAAGGTAAATCTCCTATCAAGTCTAAGCCACCGAAAGCAAAATCGGCCAAGAAGGCCAAAGGTCACAAACCATAATGTCCTTACCTAAATTTGCTAGTTGGAATGTTAGGGGGTTTAACAACCCTGACAAAGTCAGTTTTTGCAAGTCTTTGATTTCTTCTTTAAATCTCAAGATGTTATGTATTTTGGAAGCAAAAATTTCTCTTGCTTCTTCTGATGACCTGTGGTTTCAACGTTCTCATCGTCTCTTTGAGAATGAAGGGAATTGCAACAATTTTGGGGACTCTGTTTTGGGCAGGATTTGGATAAAATGGGATGAGTCGGTTTTATCCTTTAATCCTATTGCTTCCTCCTTCCAACACATCCATGGTATTCTCTCTGTGGGATCATTCCCTCCGATTTTTCTTACAGTCATCTATGCTGCTAACTCTGTGGAGGACCGGAAAAAACTTTGGGATCAGATCATAGCTTCTTCACCCCCTTTAGACCAACCTTGGGTCATTTTGGGAGATTTCAATTGCTACAGATATGAAACTGAAAAAGCTGGTGGCACTGTTTCTACTTCTAGTAGATTGGGTGAACTCAATAGCTTTATTTTTAATTGCGGGGTGCAAGATCTTTCTTCTACGGGTCTATACTATACTTGGTTCAATCAAAGAGTGGATAACCCCATCCACATCAAGTTTGACAGAGTCCTGGTGAACAATGCTTTATTGGATGTTTTTCCTCATGCTTACTACAGGGTGGAATCACATCTTGGTTCTGATCACTCCCCTATTATTTTCAATTCGTATCATAAAAAAGCTTTATCGGTCAGATTCATGTTCAAGAATTATTGGATAAATATGGAGGGTTTTTGGGATGATGTTATGTCTGCTTTCTCATCCAGATCTGATAGAAGCCCCTTGGCTTCCTTTGCCCATAGCTTACAAACTCTTAAGAGATCTTTAAAAAATAAAAATTGGGCATCCTCTTCTTATCTTTCTAATGCTCTTTTGGAAATTAAAAGCAAGCAACAACTTTGTTTGGAGCAACTTCAAACCCAACCTCTGGATTTGGATCTAAATCAGGATTTGAAGAATAGTAATGAGAAGCTTGCTACTTTTCAAAACCTTTGGACTTCTTGGATAGCTCAGAGAGCTAAAGTGTTATGGCTAACTAAAGGAGAAGATGACCTTGGGTTTTTATTTGCCCATATTAGAAGCAGAAATAACAAGAACAATATTAAGGAGATCAATACTCCTGATGGGCATTTCACTAAATTTAATGACATTTCTTCTACTGTCATTAATCATTTTGAGGGATTATTTAATTCTTCTCATCCTGACCTTCAACTTCCTCTGGATATTCCTAGTGGTAAGCTTCTGCCTTCTCATTGTAGTGAAGACTTGGTGGCCTCTTTGACTTTTGATGAAGTCAAGAAGGCGGTTTTTGAAGGTAATGAAAACACAGCTCCACGACCCAATGGTTTCACATATGCTTTCTATAGGAAATCTTGGCATATTATTGGCTTACAAGTATTCAATGCTGTTGGGAATTTTTTTTCTACTGGCTCTCTTCCGAGAGGTGTTAAGGCAACTGCTATTGCTTTAATACCTAAGTGCTCTCATGCTTCCAACTTAAGTGACTTTAGACCCATTTCACTTTGCAATGTCCTATACAAAATTGTTGCTAAAGTCATTGCCAATAGACTCAAAGTTACTCTTCAACATATAATTCACGAAAGTCAATCTGGTTTCATAGCCAATAGATGCTCGACTGATAATATCATTTTAGCTGCTGAATTGCTTAGAGATTTCAAGGGAAAAAACAAGATGTTTTGTGCGAAATTGGATATTAAGAAGGCTTTTGACTCTATATCCAGGGAATTCATCATTGCAAGACTCTTACAGAAAGGTTTCCCTCAACTCTTTGTCAACTGGATCAAAGGATGCATTAGTGATGTTCATTTCTCCATCTGTTTAAACGGATCCCTTGAGGGATTTTTCAAATCTAGCTCGGGTCTTAGACAAGGTTGCCCCTTGTCTCCTCTTCTCTTTTGTATTGCCATGGATGGCTTATCCAACATCCTCACCGACCCAGCTTATCCACACAATTTCAAGGGCATTTACTGCAAAGATTTTTACATCAATCACTTGATGTATGCCGATGATCTTCTGATGATGGGGGAATCCAGTAGAGAAAATGCCAATATGCTTAAAACCTGTCTGAAACATTTTGCCACTATTTCGGGTCTGCATATCAATCCTAGCAAGAGCGCTATAATTTTTTCTTCAAATGATCCTAACAATCAAACCATATGTGAGGAACTTGGGATCCACAACATCAATCTCCACCTTACTTATCTTGGTATTCCCATCTCACCTAAAAGACTTAAAACCACTCACTTTCAACCACTACTGAGCAAAATTTCTGCTCTACTTGCTGGTTGGAAAAACAAGTTTCTTTCTTTTGCAGGTAGGGTGCAATTTCTTAAATTTACCATCATCAATTCAATTGCTTATTGGATTAGAGGGTCCATCATTCCTAAGGGCTGCTGCGATACCATAAACAAACTTTGCTCTAAGTTCTTATTTCACAATAATTTGGTGGAGAGGAAACTACATCTCATTTCGTGGTCTCAAGTCAACATTCCTAAAGATGCTGGGGGCCTTGGCATACCTTCTATTGATGCACTTTACTTTGGAGTGTTTTGTTCTATAGTTGGTAGATTTTATAACAATCAAAACTTGCTTACCTGCTGGTATAAAGCTAAACATATTTCTCCTTTGAAACACCCGACCTCTACTGCCTCTAAAACCTGGCGCAGAATCACTGAAACATTCTCTAAGATCAAAAGGCTTTTACAATTTTCTGTTGCCAATCACAGCACCTTTTCGTTCCTTTGGGACCCGTTGATTAATGGAAATGCGTTTGGGGACATCATTTATATGCCGGGATTGGATGATATGTTAATCAAGGACTATTTTAGGAATGATTCCTGGTATCTTCCTAATCATTTTCATCCTAGTATTCATGACACTATAAAATCTGTGGATATCAAAGGCACCAACGAAGTCTTATGGAATGGAAACTCTAAATGGGATTTCAAAAATTTTACTGAATTTTTTTACTCTCATTTACCTAAGGTTGATTGGTATAGATCCATTTGGCATAAGAATTATGCCCTGAAGTATGCATGTTTTACCTGGATGGCTCGGATTGGCAAACTAAAAATGGCCGACAACCTTCTCCTGAGAGGCATTTCGGTTCCTGTTAACTGCTCCCTTTGTTTGGGACACGCTGAGAATCATCCTCATTTATTTTTTGATTGTGACTTCTCTTTTTATATACTTAAGAAAATTCTGCCGGCATTCAGCAGCTTCTTACTCAGGCCTACTCTGCCTCAAGCGTTGGATTTTATTGAAAACTCTGAAACATTAAATAGTTCTGGTAAGAGTGCTTATTTTTTAGCCATTAGCTGCATTACGTAACACATTTGGAGGGAAAGAAATAACCGTCGATTCTCAAATTCTAGAAACAATGTGGCTAAAGTTATATGCAACATCTATGCGGCTATTAGATTGAAAATGGTTAAATGGTAACACAATACAACTTCACAACTGGATTATTTGGGCATCTAATCTGCCTCCAGGTTCTATTTACTGGATGGAGTATGACCATTTATCTTATGCATTTTGTTATGTCAAAATTGGATTTCTGCTTCTTTCCACGTGCATAGAGCGGGCTCAGCTTTTGTTTTTTGATCCTTTTTGGACTCGGGTAACTGATTTCTGGGTTTGTGAGGTTTGGATGTTATTTCCTCATCCCAGATTATATGTGGACCTCTTAACGCTGTATTCTCGGGTTGGCTGCAAAGATTCTAGCTGGCAAGATGGGTGGACAATTGGCATTCAGAATATGATGAGCAAAGCCAGTCTCTCCGAGCAATGGAGGGCCTGTGTGGCAACCTTGCTAGTTTTTGGGATTCTTTATGGGCAGGCCGGATGTGCTGCGACGGCCAATCTAACTAATGCGGGTGTTGGTTTTTCGGGCAACCAGTGAAACCGCCTGGACTCCATCTATCTTTATACAGATTATGCATGATGAATGAGACTGTGCTTACATTCTGAGTCTATTTTTTGCCTTTTATCCTATTTTCTTCTTGCTGCTGTCTTTGTGTATTTTTGTTTAGTTATTTCTTAGTTTTTCTTTTCAAAGGTTTACATGTAATTTGTTACTTTTTTCTTAATACATGGGCTTTAAGCCCCGGGTTCTCCAAAAAAAAAGAAATCATATGTGTTGGCTTGCGTGCAAACGGATAGCAATTACAGGGGCAAAGGCTAAGCGGACGGGAGCATACAGATGAGATCAAGGGCGACCGACTTGATTTACCTGTAGATAAGATATTGATTACGAGATTGGAGAAGGGTTCGTGATCAACAGCGAGTTTAGTTTGAGGCGGTGTCGCAGACCGGCGTGTGGAGTTTAGGTTGTCGAATGAAATAAGTGAAGGCGGGATTTTTGTCTGCTGTTTGAAGCAGAAGACGCCTTCGACTAGGTGTCACTCCAATAAGGCCAAAGATCAGTCCGTCCTCCAATTAAAATTGGTATTTCTTTTCATTCAATTTCTCCCCTTTTTATTGATTGGATTCCTGAAAATCGGTTACAGTAGCCAAGAGTTGTATCTTGATCAATTGCTTAGAGTGGGGCCAAATTGATAGCGTGAAGGATTGCGTCTCTTGGTGGGGGTGGGGCCGGAGAAAGCATTGAAGAGATGCAACTCTTTAATTTTTTTTTTGTTCTTTCATTCTTTTTTTTAATCAATAGATTATTAAACCGCGCTGCATCCCTAGACGTAATGTGTGTACCAATAACATGTTCGTCGGGACCCATGCAGGTGTTTGAAGGTATTTTATAATTATTTATTGAACCTTATCGACTCCTATTTACCTTTTTTAGGAGGATAGTGTTCAAATTTATTGATCCACACAGCATTCCTATATGTCACGTGTGTTCCTACATCATGCTCGTTGAGGCCCATGCGGTTTATGTGATTGTACAGGCCCTTTTATGTACCTATGTGCATACATATT